GGGGGGGGGGGGGGGGGGGGGGGGGGGGGGGGGGGGGGGTTAAAGAGGAGGTGCACTGAGAAGGTCAACGGTCCACGCCCCCAACGTAAAACACCAATTATCCTTACGTCCTCGACCAGCCGTATCCTCTTACGTGGCAAAGCCCCCCACACACACGAGAGGGCACACAGACAGACCGTCGTCATCGACAACGTTCCAGCAAAGTTCAAATGAAAGGACACACAGCAAACTCTTCAATCTGGAGAGGAGCTTCGCCCCCTTCAGTAGCCCCAGATCACGGCCTTCAGAACAAGCGTTTTCTGACTACCAGCCGCACGGAGACTAGCGAATTTTGATTGGTCAGCCGGAGGGCGTGGTCAATGCCTAAACACACCCACACATACACACACACCTGACGGAGGGGCCGCCGCCGTTCGGCATAGCCTTGCGACTAGCCACCGCCCACGCGCCCTTTCCCCTCGCAACCGCGGACCGCCACCTCCGGCCGACGATCCCCACCTCCGCCCCCGCGCCACTCCCCTCTCCAGTACCACCGCGACCACCACCACCACCGTCGCTACCATTGCTATCGTCGTCGTCGTTGCTCGCCCCGGGTCCCGTCACGCGCCGCAGTCGGGCAGCGGGCACGGGGGAAGGCGCTGCGGGGCCCGCCGCCGCCGGAGAGGCCTGCTGCTGCCGCTGCCGCTGCTGCGCCCGCGCGCGCGCCTGGACGGCGGCTTCCGCCATCGCCGCCGCCTGCGTCTGCAACCTCGCCTGTTCCGCAGCCACGGCGGCGACAGTGGCCGGCCCCGCCACACGGCCGCCGCCGCCGCCGTTGCTGCGGCCGGCGGAAGCGGCGGCGGCCCTCCCGCTCTCTCCTGCCGACGGTGTTCCACCGGCACCGGCAGTAGCAACGGCGGCACCAGACCCTCGCCCTCCGGCTCCCCGCCCGCCTACTAGCGCCGCTCCCGCCGACGGCGTTCGTGAGGCCGGGAGGGGCGGCCTACCCCCCTCGGCCGCTCCTGCTGTCGCGACCGGGGCCACCCACCCGTTAGCGATAGGAGGAGCCCCCGCTCCAGGCGCCGCGGGCGCCGCTGACGCTACCGACGACGTGCTCTTACGGCCTCGCTTGGCGGCGGGTTGGCCGGCGGCGCTGGGCTGCTCCATTCCGTCGGAAGGCGCGCCGAAGCATCCAGAAGGGGTACAGCAGCAGGCGGGCAAGGGGGTAAAGTAGCCAGAGGGCAAGAGGGTACAACAGACGGCGAAAAGGGGTATCCAACAGACGGAGGAAGAGGGGCGAACGTTAGACGGTCGTCAGAGGAAGTGGATTCAGAGGGCGAGAGTCCGAGCAACGGGGCGGACATGGCGCACGGCACCGACGTGTCGCCCGGTCTTAATCTAAAGTAAAACAGATAAAATTGAACGTGTTTGCTGCTGCTGTGGCGTTGCAAGTTGTCTTGCCTGGGCCAGCGGCTCCTTAAGCCTATCGTCTCACGGTTTTAATTAAAAAAAAAAACACGATATGGCTCTCTCTCTTAGCAGAAAACGTTGCCACTTGGGGAAAAAAGTACCTGTTTTCCCCTTACAGTTTTGGATAACGTACCGCGAAAGTTCTTGAGGCACTGCAGCTTGAAACCGGGCTGCTGGTAGACGTCATCCCAGCAATAACTGATGTAAACGTTCCGGCGATTCGAGTACGTGTACCCTTGGGGGCATGGTCGTGCGCCCTGGTGCGAAAGGGGCTTCGTTTTTCGGTAGGAAAAACAACTTGGCTTCGGCCCACGAAAGCACCGCCGCAGCCGACAGAACCGCAAAAAAAGAAGCAACGACCATTGTCTATGCCGGAGCGCTACTCCCACTCTCCGAATCATGTTGGTGTGTCTAGCAACATAAGGACGGCAGGCAGTACTCGGGAGTCTTCGAGCGCAGCATACTCCATATGTGGACTTCAACAAAGCCAGCCTGTCAAGCACTGCGTGGCTGACCCTCCTCTCCTGCGTCATATTTCCTCGTCTGTGACCCCGGCTGACATACACATACGTCAAACACGCACAAACCGAAAGGTGCGTATCGTGCACTGGCGCCAGAACACACGAGACGAAGAAACACACACACGCTGCCGAAGGTACAGCACAGACAAGTGACGCGTTTTTGGTGCCGGTTCACACCCGGAATTCGGCGAATCTACGCAGCGTACAATCGTTTAATGGGATGCACCTGAGCCTCAACGAGGTGCCGTGGGTGTAATTACATGCCCTGTTTCACTGATTATAGAACACTGCTGCTGCATGCAATGCGGATGTCATCATGCCGCGGGATATTGTTGTTGTTGTTGTTGTCTGCACATTAAAAACCGTTCCGATCTCTCTCTACCCAGTACCTTCATATGTCCGTACTGATCCAACACTCGACGCGGTCGATTCCCGTGGTCGCAGGCTCACTTACCATAAAAAGGTACACTCGAATGAACTGGCCCCGAGGGGTCCGCAAGTCAATAGAAATCAACGACAGATATTCTGGAGTCCTCCACTCCCTCTGCGCGCAATGCGAGGTATAACAACTGAGACTAGGAGTCACCATCACGGGCCGGAGAGAAAGAGGTACACCCCCTTGGTTCAACCTTGGTACTCACAACGCAAGCAGAGACAAGGCCATCTGGCACAGAAAAAGGAAAAAAAAAAAACAGAAAAAAAGAGAAGAAAATAAAAGGAAACCGTGAGAAAGGGAAAATGAAATGAAAAAGAGCGAGGACAGAGAGGGACCAGGCCGAAAATGACAAGAAATAAGAGACAGAAAAAGGCACACGGTGGAGAGACCACTAACGAACAAGCAAACACGCAAACATGGCCACCAACCAGCGATACATTGTTATGGACGTCATCACTATTTAGTGGGGGGTTGGTGCAATGGTGCAGCGTCGGGGGGGGGGAATTGGCTAAAAGAAATTCAATCCGTCACGTATCGCGCCACTCGGTCCGTCTCTTCTCGTTTGTTTTCTTCCCTCGCTGTCTCCTCCGTCTCCTGCCCCCCTCCCGCCCCATTGGTTGTTGGCTTGTGGGGCCTTTGAATATCGTTCGCAAGCGGCGGAGGAACCATATTTCTTCCTTGTTCCATTCAGCGACTCGGAGCAACCACATGGTATCAAGAAAGATCTCTATCGACGTTGATGGTTTTCATGTGCACAGGAGGCACCACCATCTCCTCCACAGCAGGCGCGGCTGCTGCTGCTGCTTCCGAAACCGACGGTTCGTCTGCACCTCTGGTGAGTCTAATCTGTACTGCACTCCCTTGGAATAACAACGGCGGGTATGCACACAGGCATACATTGTCCAGAGCACAACAGACGTACACCATGATATCGCACAGAGACCACGCGCAGAGCAGATACACACCTCGCCATTCTCTGCAGCAGCGCTGGCGCTCTTGCGCCGGTTCCCCTTTTTCGTGGCGCCGGCAGCAGCGGCCGCCGCCGCCTGTCCGCCGTTGGCGACCGGCGGCCCCGCTGGCCCTTCCTCCTCCTCCCCATCATCCATATCAACATCGTCGTCGTTGGAATCCGTCCCGCCAGGGCCTCCGCGCCTGCTCCGTTTCGTTGCCCGAGAGCCATCGCCATCATCGTCATGCTGGGAGGTAACGCTGTTCGATCTCGTGCGACGAGAAGCGGCAGGCGCAGAGCCTGGGGCAGCGGCGGCGTTGGAGGGAAGGTTGTCTGCTGTTGCTGGACTGCTGCCGGACGTTGTTCCGGCGGTAGACTCTCTCCCTCGCTTCTTGCCGGGTTTGGGAGGCATTCCTTCGCGTGCAATCCGAGGTTTCTCTCGCACCGCCTCTCTTCAAATCCTTCCCTTCTCTCCCGTACGGGCGCTTGCTGGGCGCGTTGCGCGTTTGCTTCGATCCACGCCCCGCTGTTGGTGTGTCTCTCCCGTGTCGACAGGCAGGTGCCTTATCCGCTTTTGCGGGCACCCGCCATGAGGGTACGCTCTACGTAATTTTGTTCACGGAGCCCCTTTTCGTTCCCCCGGGGAAAAAACGCTCTACTTTCGCACAGCCAAAAAACAGCCGAGGGCTACCACTTCCCGTCTTCGCGTACTACCGGCGGGAGGCACAAAAAACGTGGGGGGATAACAAGCGCGGCGAAGGGCACGATGGAGGCCTCTTCGAGCGAATCAACGTCCGTCTACTTCTGCCACGTGTGCATGTGAGCTGGATGAACGCTGTGTGTGTCGTTGTCGAGTCGTGTGCTGTTTGAACTCTGTACAAGAAGATCATAGTCCGGAGAGAAAACACGACGCCCGAACAGCAAATGCTTGCGGGCCTTTTCGGGGCATCCCCCGCCCCGTGCTTGTATAGGGGAGACGACGAGCTACCTTCGGACTCGACCGGTGGAGCGTTTCAACCCTCTTGTAGGTGTGCCTTATTGTACGTCTCTTTTTTCCATGGATGTCCCATGCCAAGGGCGCATGCCCGACCGTCTTCCCCACTGGGTTCGTCTGTGTGTGGGTGTAACGAAAATGAATCGCGGCACAACAGCACTGCGCGCGTCGTTTTCGAGTCAGGTGACGAGATCACCTCTCTCGGGGATGTTGCGCGCTCATCATCCCCCCCCCCTGTGGCGCACTCCCCAAGGACAGTCTGAGAGACGAGGAAAGACGACGAGCCGATTTTAGTACATCACCGTTGTGCGGAGTGGTCTTTCGTTAGGCTGGGGGGAAACGGAGAGCCCAGGTTTCCCAGGTCGTTCCTACAATTGGAGCCCGTTTTCTACTGCTCGGCACCTCAGTTTGATCTACATTTATTTGTACAGTTGCTGCGGGGGTAGGTGGTGTGTTACGTTCAACGAATTCGTGGGCAAACGCCACGAAAATGAGTGTGCACGGACGTGCAGCGGAGTTGATCCCCCGACGACCCCCCAAGAACGCTATGCACGGGGGCGCCTGCTCTGTTGCGCTCGCAACGAGTGTCGCGTCCACAAGTAAACAGATGAATCGGCACGGGTCATGCGGGAAACAAACCCCGAATTCTAGCACATCCAAGGGGGGAGGAGCACTCGGCACCCCTTTACAAGCACATAAATTGTACAGAGTGTTCGGCAGGTGAAGGCATAAAGCTCGTTGTTCGTTGGCATTCAAGTCGGACCCTAAGTTCATCTATCTAACTTTGTTCCTGCCTTGGGTATCCCCTCTACGATACATATGCATTGTGCCATTTGGCCATTCGTGTCTGCGTGGATGTACATGGGCCTATTGGTAAACTCTGCCCACGTGACGCTATTACAGTGGCCGAAGTGATATTGATGCGCTATATTAGCGACGCGTGTCCTTGTTCTCCACGTACACCCCGCCCCCCCATGAATTTCTCACGCGCTGCCCCCCTGCCTCCATTCCCCCCCTTTGGGGGGGATTCTGCTTGCTGCCGCCAAACGTTGACGGTGCCGTGCACATTCGGACTGCGAAATGTGTTGACAACAGGACCCGAGTGAGAGTGAGAAAGACGTCCACGCAGGAGCTGGAGTGCCGTAGGGTGAGAACAGGACGAGTGTGGGTAAAACGCGTTCTATTGTTGATGGGCAGCGCCGGCAACAATCCCCTGATTTCTCTCGAGGAGAGAGCGAGAACCCTGACAGAAGGCTGTTCATTGTTGCTCGTCGAACCCATCCGGTCTCTGGAACCCCCAACATTTTTATACAAGTTGTCACTGCTGACGCCGTTGTTCACAACAGCACCTTCGTACTCACACCCGCAGCGTATTTCTCTTCCCGCCGAGCATGTGCGCCCTCCGCCACACCGCCCGCGTCCTTCCGGTGCTGCTTTCTTGCTTGCCCTTGACTACAACAAACCACGACTTTCTTTCCCGTTCCTTTTTTTTTTTTTCACCTTCCGTCGTCTGTGTTTTTTCCGCCACCACCAGTGCGAACAGACGTTCGTAGAGGAGCTGCTCGAGGCCGTCGTCGGCAACGCCGCGCTGGGAGGCATTGCCGACGATGACGATGCCGCCGGCGGGAGGGACAACGACGATGGCCCGGCTNGGGGGGGGGGGCACCCCAGGCCAGGGGGTGCCCGTGATCGGAATGCCTTTCAGCATGCTGCAGGCCTTGGGGTTGGGCGGGATGCATCCGTTGAACGCACGACCGGCGACGCCTGGTGGGGACCGGGGTGAGGGTGAGGGCGGACAACAACAAGGTAGCGCTGCTGGTGAGGGTGGGGGCGGGGCCGAGGGGGGGCGAGCGGGACCGTTCCTTTTCGGGGGGCGATTCGCGATGGGTAGCGGCGGGAGCGGGTCCGGCAACACCGCCGGTAGCGGTAGCGGTAGCGGTAGTGGTGGTGGTGGTGGCGTTGGTCGCGGGGGTAGCAGTTTCTCTTCTCGGGTGCAGCGGTTTCGCCAAGGCTCGGGCAGCAGCACGAGCCCCAGCAGGACTAACAGCAACAACAGCAGTAGCAGCAACAGCGCCGAAGGGTCTTCCTCAGCAGGAGCCAGCAGCACCGGCAGCGGCGGCGGAGCTGGCGCTGCGCCAGGCGGTGGTGGTGCGAGGACCGGCGGCGGTGGCGACGGCGGCGGCTCGCGAAGCGGAGCGCGAAGAGGGTCCGGTTCTGCCGCCGCCGCCGCCGTGTGGCCTGGGGCGAGCATGAACCCGGAGCAGAACGCCAACAACGGTGGCCCGCCGCCGCAGATCGCCAACAGCGTGGAGCAGTTCCTCGAGCAGGTGCTAGGGGGCGGGATGGTGCAGATGCCGGGGGGGATGATGCAGGGAGGCATGGTTCACTTCGGCGGCGGGGGGCCCGTGTCTGGCGAAGGGAGAAACGCCGGTAGGGCGGGGCAAGGGCAAGCGGCGGCAGCTGGAGCGGGCGAGCAGGGCGGGAGAGCGGGTCGGGGGTCGGGCGGTGGAGATGGTGGTCTGGATGCGGAGAACCCGTTCCTTGGGTAAGTTCCTTGGTAGTGTGTTTTTAGGGGGTTGTGTTACCAGGTATGTACATCGCGAGGGCGGGGGTGGGGATTGTGCTGTGGGAGATGTTTTGCGAAGGTGCTTGCCGCGGGTGATGTCGTATTCCATGTTCGAAAGTCAGGTTGCTTTGTTCCGTTATCTTGCTCTCTGCCCTGACGCGTGAGTGCACCCGCAAGAAAAACGAGTTTCATACGATTTGTTGCGTGAGTCTTAACCCACATCTACATTCCGGGAAAGATTGACACTCCAAGATAAGCCGGCCGGGACGAAGCC